GTTTTTAAATCCGTCTTCCTAGTTAAAAAACAGAGTATAAGTGAAATCTATCCAAAAAAAATTTAATGTTAATTAAATCCCACAGACGAAAGTTTCCAAATTATGGTGAAACTCAGTCTCAATTTTTTTTAATTGCCGCATTGAATTTAATGTTCCGTTTAATTATTTATTTGCAATACACGTTATTTGTTTATTTACCGCCGATTTAATTTGAGACTCTACTAATCTTACGTCCACGCGTGCTTTTTAACCAACTCGACTTCTCAATTAGTCCTACAATAAAGGAAATGTCGCGTAAATTACTTTACTAAATCAAATCGTGACGCACAGCCAGCTATGAAGCACCTCTTTGTTTTGTGAACGAACGAACTCGTCTTTTTCTCCGTGCATTACTTACTCCAGCAGAACGACTTATCTTATTTCACATTCCTTCGTCGACTTCGCATGCATTAATACATAATAAATTCATACACTAACAATACAACATGAATTGTTCATACAGGGTGTTAATACTAAGTCGTTACATCCGAAAATGGGAATTAGAACTCATTAAAACAAACAACTTTTCTTAGTTCCAATTTTGGGTTTGGTGCCCCGGTTCGAAGTCCTCTTATTTTAAGGACTATTAAAAAAATATCTTTCAGCTCACTCGCTCGCACAATTGTATTTACAATTTTTTTTATTTTTTCAAATAACAAAATGGTGATTGATCAAAAATTAAAAAAAAACATTTTTTGAGAACCACCCCATCGATTTTTGAAAACATAACATTTACAAAAACCCTTCTCCATCTACTACATTTGTCCTAAAGATTTTTCAATTCTTTTTCAATTTCCATTTCAAAAATGGCCCCCTTTTGAAGGATAGGTTGAAAAAAATATTTAAAACAAATGTTGTAGTAGATAAGTGTATGGATTTTATAAATGCGATCCTTCAAAAATCGATGGGGTGGTTATCAAAAAAGTTTGAAATTTTTTATCGATCGCTATTTTAGTATTGGAAAAAAGAAAAATCATTATACATACAAATGTTTTAGAGCGCCGAATGAATTGAAAAATTGTTGTTTTTTTGAATAGTCCTTAAAATAAGGGGGTTGTGATAATTTTTCGGAAAAGAAAACAACGCCAATAGTTTCAAACTAGGGTACCAAATCAAAAATTGAACCTAAGAAAAGTTTATTTTAATGAGTAACTGCCGTTTTCGGTTATAACGACTGAGTATTAACACTCTGTATATACACACATTTTCCTTCAAATTAGGAGTAAAAAAGTAATTACTTGGAATTGAAAAAACCTAGCCCGTTATAAGGTGGCCACGAGTCACGCCAAAAGTAGGATGTAAATGCGACTCCCGGGCGCGATAAAACCCTGTTCTTATGCAAAAAATTTAAAAAAAAACACTTCATCAACAGAATACAGAATCTGGTCAAAAATTAAATTTTTTTGTAATCGAGGGTGACATCATAACGATTTAATATCTACGTTGTAGTTGAAAAAGTGTTGGGATCTTAAGAGTAGATTGAGAAATATGAATATTGAAAACATCCCAACGCTTTTTTTAATTTTTCTTGAACAGGAATGCTTCATGAGCAAATTGCTCACATGCGAACAGTCGCGTTTCATACAACCTAGCGACTACTGATAGGTTAAATTAGCATTTACAGCGTCCAAATCAGAAAATGAAATGTGCTTCGGGTTGTCAGAAATAATCTAGTTTTATCCCTAAGATATGGTATAGTTCAAATAAAACACAAGTTAACTTAATCAACAATTGTATATTAATCTAAATAAATATACTTTAGATCTGTAAACGTACAGCGTTTTTATAGTAATACATAAATTGAAGGCAGAAAATAAATCACTTGGTAAGCCAGACCCTCCATAAAGTATTTGAGAAGTAAACAGTTTACAACTGTATCAAGCATTTAGAGCAATACAAATAATATGATTTATGGTTTAGTTTACGATCTTTGTGAACCGGTAAGATTTTTTGCGAGCGAAAAGAACTGTGTATTGCTTCAAATGTGATTGTGCGCTAAACAATTCGATATAGAAAGATTAAGAAGGTGCCACGGTAATTTAACACCTCGACAGAGTTCAAGACAAGCCGCTTTCTACGGCCTCCCATTTCTTACGAATTTCGTCACATATTACAGTTTGAACGAAAATTGAACTAAACGTTGTGCACATTTACGAACTGAATTTAATTTCATTTCAATTAATTTAATTAAACGTAATGTTAAATTTGTAATCAACATGTTAATGTGCTGATAAAATATTTGGCTGTTCTTCACAACTAATTATCGTTTAAATTGAAAGGGTTCCTATTTTTTAAACGGATCACCTAAACTTTTTAAGTAAGAGAAAAGTTTCAACTCATCAACCCTTTTCTATTAAATATTCAAGCTCTTTAGAAGTTTATTAGAGGCGATGGATAGGGCTTTCAGAGCGTTCTTGACAACATAATATGGGATGTTGTTCAACCACCAAGATATCTTAATGTCTCGGTTTGCTATCAGGTTGTTTACCTTATCCGCATTTCTGGTTTCCGAGAAGTAAGTAGGTACATATACCTGTGATTTTTTAAGAAACTAATTTTTATTGAAATATATTAGTTGGTCGCTATCGATTTCGGACGTGCTTCGTCTTCGGCAGGACTGCATTGCTCTCTTGTTTGCGTCAACTGTCATGGCTCCTGCGAAAATATGCCAGATGACACGCTGGCCTTAATGGCGGAGGAGGACGAAGTTGACGACGATGATGGTGCATTGACTAGTTTTACAGAAGACGACGATCAGGCGTCTAGCGATGAAGATGATACAAGTACGTACCTCAACAGACAACAAATTTTCGGGTTTATCGAAAAACTTTGAGACGATATTGCGATGTCAATTTTCGTCCGATTTAAACAAACTTGGGCTCATTTTAAAGGTAATTGGATGTTCTTCAAAAGCTCCTCACGTTCGGAGAGCTTACTGCTTGTGAATGACGTCAGTTTCGTTTTTTTGCGCGCGAAATATTGAAAGTTGCGAAAACTTCATTTTTGGGCCGAATTTCGTCGCACTGTAGTGGCGTTAGTTTTTATCAACAAGGGCTCATCTAAAAGGAAATGTACTTTAATTTATTACTGAAGTTTTTTCGCCAAAAAACGGACACCAAATGAGTTATTTCGGGTTTTGTGGAAAAACCGCCGATTTTCCGCCATTTTTCCAAGATGGCGGCTCCCGCGTCATACGGATTTTTGTGCAAATGTCAAATTCGAATTCAGCGACCCAAAAAACGTAAACCCTGCATCTTGGTTGTTTGTCTCAGACATTTGCAAGGTGGGCCTCTGTTTTGAGCTCTAGGGCCTGGCCTATTACCATATTATATATTTAGTACGTACGTATATGAATTAAAAAAATTGCCGCTTGTTCTATGATTATATCGTCGTGTAAGCATTGAGCGCGTATGGACTGCATTTCAATGTCGATATCAATGCTGTGCATTTATAAGGAAATGTGATAATAAATTAAAAATTTGGTTCAAAAATTTTGAGGGTTTAGTAGCTATTTTTCTACACCAGTGTTAATTAAAACGAGTTGGATATTGAGTATTAATATTATGGTAATTACATAAAGCCATTAGGTACGTACTTTGAGTGACACGTTGCATTGAAATACTTAAAAGTTCAATTTTCGGGTTAGCCCGTGGGCATTTTAAAATTTTTTTGTATACTCGTGCAATGGCCTAATGTACATACTTGTGGCCATTTTGGAATAATTATTCATTAAAAAAATTTTTTTTTCAAGAGCACGATTTCCCAAACACTTATTTTAACCCCCCCCCCCCCCCCCCCCCGTTCCCCGGGTTTTTACCGCGCATCACACATCGTCTTGCATATCTTTTTAGCGCATTTTTGCAAAAATTTTTTTTTGTAAAAAGTAGCTTTTAATCTCACTTTGGCTGGCTGGCTGGTGGCAGTAAATGCGCGCCCGTAGAAAAACGCTTGTAAAAAGACAAGGAGTATACATGTAACTATCGGAGCCGTGTAATTAAGAACGTTAGGGATGGGGCTACAAGATTTGGAGTCGACGACATCTGGACGCCATCCCCGAGCGTATTATACTAACCTGGAGATTTTTCAGTTTTTATCTATCTTCTTCTACAGTTATTCTCCGATTGTTTTCAAATTGGTGTCGTCGGGAAGATCTTGTCAACGCGCACAACTCCTGCGTGGCGGAATTTTGTTTTTTTTCCCTAGGGGCGAAATAAACCACCTTTTGCGCGGCGCGCTTCGAGGGGTAGTCGACTTTGGGCGCCCAAAAGTTTCTTACAGCGCGAATCGCTGTCTCTCTTTCTCGTGTCACTAATAGAAGGTCGAGCTATGTGAAGTACCCAAAAGTTGAATACGATTTTATGCCGGGATTTTAGCGAAATCTACCAAAATGGCAATTACGAATGAACGGGACGTCGGAACTGTGTATCGACAAAGGGAATGTGGTAACCCCCGACGAGATCTTACTGATGGTGGAGTCAAAACTTAAAACGCGAATTGCGAGTGCACGGTAAGTGAGAAAATGGTACCGACAAAGTGAACGTGGTAGCTTTCGGCAAGATCTTATTGATGGTGGAGTCAATATTGGCTAATAAAACGCTGATCTGCCACACAAAAATGCGCTGAAGTCCCTTCGATCTCACACGAGGACTTTGATAATTTTTTATAACAATTTACGCTCTTTCTAAGTACCATTTCCATAGTACACTACAATTACATCATTTCCGTCACATTCTTTGCCTTAAAATTTAAATTACGATTCTCTTTTTATAATTCCCCAATGCGTATGCACTCCATTTTACACTGTAGCATTATTATAACTTCTAATACACCTCATTAGATTTGATATCATTTTTCCACTGGTCATTTTTCATTACAAAAATTAGACAACATATGAACATAATAGGCTTTTATTTATTAAAATGTATACAAGATTACATACAACATTAATTTTTACACATCGCCATTACGTTTTCAGTGCCAGGAATTCAGCTATGTACTTAAGTTCATTTTCAAGGCACTTCTCTTCGTCGCGCGAGGCGTCCAACTCGGCAACAAGTCGTACCGTACGGTTCCGTGTTTTTTACCTGCGCGATAGTTTCCTCCACCAACGCTTTTGGGGTGATCGTAGTCGATGAGGAATGAGCTGGAGTAGGAAGTTCCGGAGCAAACGGCTGCTGGAACTCTGCCTGATACATTTGTATCATAGCGTTTATATCTTTTCCCTTTGAACTGTAACAAAAATTACATTCATTACACACAACAGCTATGTAAAATGTTGTCACTTACTTGTTTTGCTCTGTTGGTGGTTCCGGCGGTGGCATTACCAAGGATGGTGGTGGTGGGGATCTTATTTCCTCCGACAGGTGCGGCGTTGGAATAATTCTGTAAAGAGAATCAACGCGGCGTTCACAATGTGCATAGCTTTTTTTTTGTAATAATAAATACCGATTCGAATCGCATGCGTTAGAACCATGTCCAGCTTCAAGTTCTTTGAGGAGATCGTCAATTTCCAATGTTCGGCCTAAATGAGTCGTTACAGTTGATCTGTAAGAAATCGCTCAGTATGTAGGAAACATAACTTTTATGATACAAATGTTTAAGTACCTGAGATTATCAGACCTTGATTCATTGTCTGATATAGTTATGATGCTATATTGGTCATCCAGTAGGGGTTTGTTGTCCAATTTATCCACTGGATGTAGCACAGTTTGGTTTGCAGGAGCTCGTAATTTAGCTGGTAGTGCCGCGCTCGTCCTAGGATCGCTCGCCTTTCTTTTCTCGCCACTAATGGGGCCTCGTTTGATAAAAGGACCTCGCTTTGGTATCAATAAGTTTTGCGACGATTCACTTACAACTACATGTTGCACCACACTAGGCACCGGTGCCGATTTCTTTAAAGATAGTTCACTTGGTTTCTTCGTTTCTTTGGTCATGTTGTACGATTGCCTAGAACAATAACTGATTTATTTATTTACATAAATTTTAAATTAGTGGTCTTTCCCGCCATTCCGGTGCTTGCAACAAACACGTCTTTATTTGTCAAAGACTCCTTGAAAAGGTTGGGTCGATCATCTTGTTTGAAGTATTCATAAAATCGTAATGGCAACACGCATTTGACATTTTTGAACACTATTCGATCACCATATTTTGTATTTATGGTATCGATGTTTTTCTCCTACTTCCATATCTTTCACATTTTGGAATGCCTTGCAGAATGTTCTGTTGTTTAAGATCCATGTTAACTGTTTCAATAACACTATCCTATCGCCGTGCTAAGCCTAAAAGCGGTAACCAACATTTCACAAAATGGCGACAAAATCGATTTTAAAATCTAATACCGTAATTTAAAAAATTGTCGAGTTTTTCAAACCACTTGCGTTTTTTTTTGTGAGTGTAAATGCTTCAGTTTGTTAAGGTAATCATTAATTGTACTCAAAAACATTGTTTTATTAAAAAAACGTAGATACCGCTAATTTGTTTTAATAAATGTTACTGCAATACTAAGGCTATTACACGGTATGTGTTAAAGAAAGGTATTGCACTTCGTCACAGAAGCAGAAGATATAAAAATACAAAGAAGATATTAAGTGATACGATATTTTGATTGGTATGGAATAAAAACCTTTTTAATTGGCGTTAAAGTTTACTACAACAAACTACAAAGCTTTAACTAACAATTAATGTAGACACTAAATTCAATTCTCTCCATCATTGTCTGATTCATCATTTACCACGGGAATTGTAGACCAAAACTCTAATCTGTTTTCAGGGATTATTTTATTGCGATCTTCTTGGTTGCAATTGTTTTGAATTAACTTGACGATACCATCTCGGCGTTGTACAGAAGCTCCTCTAGGTCGTGAAACAGGATCTGGGGTGGGTATTTTTCCTGATTTAAGTATATTTTTTTTTATAAAATCTAACGGCAGTGCAGGTTTTTCAAAATCGGCCCGGTAACTTAAAAAAAAATTACCTTTTTTGGCACATATTTGTACAATATCATGTAGGTAAACCTTGTCTAAATCTTTTGCTTTGTATTTCTTTGAATGATCCTTCCATAACGAGAAATCTTCAGTACTCATTTCTAATGTTTTAGCTTTAGTATTTTCAATTGCTAACTTATAATCTGCAAAATCCTATACTTTTTTCATTGTTTTTAATGATTTTTCTACACTGTGATGAAACGAATCCGCAGACATGAATGTATGTCCGGGTTCAAAATAATTTACTTCGATTTCGGATGCCTGGATAAGTGTGCTGTTAACTATAAAAACCAGAAAGCTGAAAAACGCCCAGTTTTTATTTTGGGCGCTACAATTGTCAACCCAAAAGGTAATCTTCAGCCGATCTCTCTGACTTTGAAGGTACTTTGCAAAAACACTTATAATGTCTTCTTTTTTTCTTCCCCGTATGGCTTCGTGCCAAATAACTGCCGTTGGTTTTTCTTTAGCCATACATTTTAGTGGTACAAAGCTTTCGTTGTAAGCCACAAGACGTTGTGTGAAAATTAACGACTTAAACATTTCACACCTCGGTAACATAATTACCTTTTGAAGGTCTACAGATACAAACAGATCTTTGCTGTTTTGTGATTTTAGTTTATCTGCTTCATAAAATTTTCGAGCCTGTGTGTATTTTTCTTTATGAATTTTCCACTTTGAGCAAACTGCACAGTCAGATTGAAGGTTTTCTTCGGAGTGAGCATGCAATTTAAAAGTTTCGCATTGTTCACACTCTTCGTGGCCTAGCTTGACGAAAGATATATTTCGCTTTCGTAAAATGGAACGATATAAATCGTATGAGCAATTGAACGCTGGTGTTTTCTCCAAAAAGTCATCGTATAATCTTCGTGCAGAAAGATCACTAGGTAAATAACGTCGTAACGGTGCATGTTCGCGCCTGTAGTGCGAAATATTTGGCTTAAAGGATTCTATGTGGTCAATTATTATTTGATGATCTTTTATGTTTGGGGGAATTCTGCCAAATCTTTTGTCTCTTCTTGGAGAAATTACCGAAATTTTTGGATCAAGCATGTTCTCCAGTATCTTGTCATTATTTCGATGAAAACCTAGCGTCGTTAGAAGGAAAGTTCGACATACACCCCAAGACTGACCATTTTCATCTTTTAAGAAGTAATTATTGGTAAAGTTTCTTCTAGAATCTGACCCAACAGTTCTTCTTTTTACACCCACTTTTTGCACTAACCCTATTACAAAACTCCTTTGATCATGTTTATTCATGCTCCAAAATTGTGAATTGATTTGTTTCCTCACGTCTTGACTAATTTTAGTCGTGCATTGTTTCTTACAAGAGTTGTTGCATGGCTCTCTAACGATATGTTTTTTTTTAATCGTTTTAAGTTGTTTAGCTTTACGTTGTGAGGGGGTATACTTAAATTTTTTTCTCTTCCTTTTTTCTCCTTTTCTTGTAAATTCTGTTTCGATGGCATTAACGGATTCATCACTGGAGCTGTCAGTCGTCTTCGCATCTATTCCTTGTAGTTCCACTATATCTTTCTTCCTGAATATTTTCGGCTTGATTGTTATTGTTACCTAAAAGACAAATAATTGTAATTAAAACTTTAAATTAACGCAAACTAATGTTTAACAAACCTTGCACTTGTGCAAGCTGCGGAGCACTCCCCATTTCTGTTTCTTCTTGTACTTTCTCCAAAGTCTTATCGTCCACGACAACAAAATCTTGAAATACCCCTGAAAAAAGGATATTGAAAAAATTGAAACAATATATTAAAGAAGTTCTTACCTTCCTCGCTAATTATATCTTCAATTTGCTGTAATTCTCCTTGAGCTATTACATTACAAATAGGCTCTACTTCATTGACGTTATTATCAGGCACTACTTCATGTAATATATTTTGAAATATTTCTAAAAGGAAAAAATTATTTGCGATAATTGCGACAAACTAAAAAATCTTACCGTCTTCGCCAATCATTTCTTGAAGTAAATTACGTTTAGGTACCACCACATTTACCACGACACCGCGGTTTTCACTATTTAACTGTTCTTGAGATTTATCAAGCAATAAAGCCCGTTCTAAAATTTTGTGAGATCTACTTAATGCCATAACTATGAATTTATTTACAACCGATCAAACACTATTTTTTACATGAAATCACTCTTGACACTGAGTTGGCTTGTAACACCACCGCAAGCACCAGTCATCAAATAAAAGGCAAAAGAATAGGTTAAGTATTTGTTTACTTTGTATGACTAAGAATACTAGGCCATTTAGCGGCTTCTACATACAATGGCGCCATTTGTCAAGGCATATTAGCGGTAAGTGCAAAATGTTAGGGTATATTGGCGGCAAGTGCGCTACATAGCATAGCGTTTTGTATGAAAAACGTAGATACCGCCAAAAAAATTGCATTTTTATTAAAAATGCGCAACATATACCGCTCTAAAACCTAAGCAAATCGATGCAAAACACTATGCTCGATCTTGAAATGTTATTATCTCATTTTCCATAAAATAGGCAGTTACCGCCTTTGGGCTTAGCACGGCAGTATAGAGAGGCCTTAAACCTTCAATCAAAATCCGTTGAAACCTGCTCTCACCCTTATTGTTATGATGGCAATTTATTCTGTGTTATTTTACTTGATTCTGGTTTAGTCTTACCCCTTGCAACTTCACTCAAAAATAATTGCTAACTGTTGCGTTGATTCTATTGTATTCCACAAGGCCGCAAAGATTCATTTCAGCGATTCAAGTACAAGCATATTTAATAACTAATTTCTGCATAAGATAAAAATCATTTATCAAAAATCCACGGGTTCGTGCACTTTGCAATAATTTACCTTCTATTAGATCACAAAAAATCATGTAATGTAATACATGCCATAGCATTTAATTATGTTTCGTATTTTCGTAAACATGCTATTTCCGTTGACAATTCAACTCATGTATAAAAAATCGCATAAGCCGCAGTGAAATTGTCACTTTGACAGCGGCAAAAGTTACCTGCAACTTTTCCAGCGACAAATGCACTTAGTGGTTTTTTCACTTATTCATTTTCGAACCAATTATCGCATTATCCTTACCCATATGACTAGTTTGACGTCTGTCAATAATTGATTAGTTTGGTGAATTTCTTGTTCGTTAAATTGTCCTGCCGAATTACACTCGAGGTTTGTATTTAAACCGAGCAAATTTGGGTTGTGGCAATTCAAATCTGTTTCCTTTAGCAATTGGACTCGAAAAACTGTCAACCTAAAAATGCTCCACCTGCGGTGTCGCATTTTTATTAGTTGACAATTTTTCTCGTCTAATTGCTAGGCAACAGATTTTCATTACCTAAACAACCCAAATTTACTCGGTAAAATACAAACCTCTTGTGCAATTATAAGTGAATAAATAAATAATGGCTATGTGGATTGTGTATCCGGCCGGGTCAAATTAATTTTTCCAATAACTGAAATCCCCTACGGCCAAAAGTTTCATTTCAGTAGCATAAAACATATAATTGGTGCCTAATTTCGGCATAAAAGACAACTGTTAATGGAAAAGTCTGCTAACTTGTAAAGTTGATCAAGTCAACCTAAATCGGATTTTGCTGAGGGTGCTTATTTTACTTTCTCTCAAATTTATTTTGTCTTAATTTTTTAGAATGCAACGTAATATGGGAACAAGATGAGCGTCCTTAACTCAGACGCGTCAGAAACCATTTCTAAAATAGCAAGTTTCAAGGAATAATCGAGAAATTCCTCAAGTATTTTCATATTTCCCGTGCTGCACATTTTCATGATACTTAATCAAATTGGTGAAATGTTTAAATAACCGTGAACGAGAGAGTATACAAATTAAATAGGTAGATGAAATAATGATCTCAGTTATAGTTTCCGAGTACTCACTATGAAAACAACACAATGTCGCCTATAAACACTTCGTGTCTGAAAACCGCTTAACGCTGAGCATTAAACTCGATCGATGAATATAATGCGTGTCACTATATTTACATTAGTATTAACTAAAAACAACATTGCTGCCAACATACCACATTTAGGTCAGCAGAACCTTCAAAAACATTAAATTTTTGTATATGTATATACCCACACGAAGGTCAGGCCCTTTATATTATCCTAAATTCAATTTACGTTAATGAAATTTGTCGGGTTCCCTATCAATAATTCATAGTATACATTATGTTAACAAACAATAAATCGAT